AGTACCAAAACAACAACAAGACAAACAAATAAATGGCAAAAGATAAAACAATACTACAAATATTTAAATAACCAGAAACAGGAAAGTACAAGCAGAGAAACAAAAGATGGAAAAAGTAAAAAATAAATAATAGAACGTCAGACTATATTAACCCATTCAGAACTTACATCAAATGATTTGTGCACAGTAATTAAGAGAGATTGCCAGAATTAGTTTTTTTGGGGGGTAGGGGGTACTGGGGATCGAACCCAGGGGTGCTCTATCATTGAGCCACATCCCCAGCCCTTTGTTAAAAAATTTGAGACATCGCTAAGTTGCAAGGGCTGGCTTTGAACTTGGAGATCCTCCTGCCTTAGCCTCCAAACACACTGGGATTACAGGTGTGGTCACCACACCCAGCATTTCTCTTGAGTTCTTTAATGTATGATTGTTAATTAAAAAAATATATAGCTGGCATGATGGTGCATGCGCCGGTAATCCCAGCAGTTTGGGAGGCTGAGACAGGAGAATCTCAAGTTCAAAGCCAGCCCCGGCAACGGCGAGGCTCTAAGCAACTCAGTAAGACCCTGCCTCTAAATAAAATACAAAATAGGGCTGGGGATGGAGCTCAATGGTCAAGTGCCCCTGAATTCAATCCCCAGTACCAAAAACAAACAAAAACCAAACAACAACAACAACAACCAAAAAAACAAAACAAAACAAAACAAAAAAACGATTATAGCCAGAACAGTGGGACATACTTGTAATCCCAGCGGCTTGGGAAACTAAGGCAGGAGGATTGCAAATCCAAGGTCAGTCTCAGCAATTTAGCAAGACCCTGTCTCAAAAAAATAAAAAGAGGGCTGGGGCTCAGTGGTAAAGCGCCCAGGATCAATCCCTGGTCCTTCTTCCCCTCCACAAATCTTGTCTTCGAACTGAGGACTTTTTTTTTTTTCACTTGTGTTGGTAAAAATTAACGAGCACACCCCTCTGTGTACCTGCATACGTCCCTATGCACTGGTTACTTTACCATTAGAATAAAACTGGACAGAGGGAGACAGCTCAGCGGAGAGTTTGGTCACCCTCCTCGGCGCTGAGCAAGGCAGGTGTCCTTTGCTGAAGGACCAGGGGGCCGAAGCAAGCTTCCCCCTGGTCCACTGGGCCTGCATCACGGGTCTCCCTCCCACTCCCCATGCACATCTGCCCCGAACATGTGTCCAGAACAGGGCGCTGTTGGTGGGGCACGTGGTGCTATTTGCCACCTCCCCAGGACTCTCCCTCTCCCCGTGTCCTGTCTTGGGATGGACATGACCATGGAGACACCCAGAGGAGCTTCTGCCCTCTCCACGCCCCGCAGATCAGGGGACCCCTTCACCCTCCCTTCTTCTGGAGCTCCATCTTCCAAGAACCTGTGCCCTCAGAAGGTGGACGTCCTACGCACCCCTCTGCCCCACAGTGTGTGTCTGCAGGTACTGTCACATTTTCTTTGATATAAGGAAATAAAGTGTCCTTTGACATTGAACAGGATCACAGCAGCACAGAAAGCATGTTCCTTTCCCTACCAGGGGTCACCACAGAGATCACCTGTGGGTGGGGAGGTCCAGGCTTGGAGAGGCTCCCTGTGGAGTGAGGTGGACAAGATAGCTGGCAGTAGACAGGGCCCTGCTAGCTGCCTGGGGGCAGAAGGTGGGGACTGGCTGCTGCTTCTTTCTTCCCCCTCCTCCCTTTTTCTTTTCTATCCTCTTTTTTTTGGTACCAGGAACTAAACCCAGGGGGCATTCAACCCCTGAGTCATATCCCCAGCCCTTTTTATTTAGAGGCGGGGTCTCACCGAGTTGCTTAAAAGCTAAATTGCTTAAAGCCTCGCTAATTTGCTGAGGCTGGCCTCTAACTTGTGATCCTCCTGCCTTAGCCTTCCAAACTGCTGAGATTACAGGCATGTGCCATCACACCCTGCAATTTTCCAGCTCTTCATGTAAGGGTGGAATGGTTCTCTTGAGCTACTGGTGTTCCTGACCCATGGGGTAGGAAGGACCAAGTGTAAGGCCTTTGAGTTTCTTCTCAGGATGGCAAATAAAAAGCAATTCTGCTGGGTTTGGTGGTGCAGACTTATAATCCCAGCAATTTGGAAGGACTCTAAATTCAAGGCCAGTCTCAACATAAAATAATAATATAATAATAATAATGGGTTAGTTAAGCACCTGAATTCAATCCCCAGAACTATTAAAAAAAAAAGCAGTTCTTATCTTTGGGAGAAGGTGAGAGACAAGGGCCAACAGAGATTTGAAACATGCAGGAGTGGCAAGTGTCTTGTCCTTTCTGCATTTAGCTGCTGTTTGGCAAGGTCATGCCTCTTGGAGAAGACAGGATCCTAACCTTGATTTGGTAGTGACTCCAATTACAGCTACTTTTCCTGAGGTAGGACCTTCCACGAAACAGACCGTAGTGAAAGGCGGAGTGTGCATCAGGCTGCAGTCTGGCCAACAGACGGCGCCTTCTCTCTCTCAGCCACACTCCACAGGGCTGGGGACTGAGAGGCAGAGCTGGGAGTGGGGCCTCCATGGCACCTAATAACCCACTTGCAGAAATTTGCTTCCCACTTCTAGAAGCTTAGAACGTGAAAGGCCTGAGCAGAAAGAAAACTTAAAACTAAAAATCTCTGGGCATCCCAATACACCATCAGAAATGAAGAGCTCACGCACACCTGTGATCCTAGCTGCTTGGGAGGCAGAGGCAGGAGGATCGCAAGTTTGAGACCAGTCTGGGCAATTTGGCGAGGCCCTAAGCAACACAGCGAGAGCCCATCTTGAAAATAAAAATAAAAAGGGCCAGCGATGTGTCTCATTGGTAAAGCATCCCTAGGTTCAATCCCTGGTACCAAAGGGGGAAAAAAATGTGAGGACAGCTCACAGAGTGCAAGAATGTATTTACATATTTGTAAATCATCTATTTGATGACAGATTGTGTCTAGAATCAAGAACTCTCCCAACTGAAAGTTAAAAATAAACCAATTTAAAAAAAACAGGTGAAGTGTGTGTGTGTGTGTGTGTGTGTGTGTGATGCTGGGGATGGAACCCAGGGCCCCACCTGGGCCAGAAAAGGGAGCCCCACTCCTAAGTTCTGGACAGACATACACCGTGAGCACAGTGGTCACTGTTATCTTAATCCACCAAGACCAGGGGCCATGGGTTATGCCATACAAGGTCTCTCAAGAGACCAGTCTTTCCCTAACCCCCTGACCCACGCAGGTAGCCACTTCCAGCAGGGCAGGGCATCACCTGGGCTTACCCAGCACCTGCTTCTTCCCTTGATCCTTTTTCTTTTGCAGGCTGGGGATGGACCAGGGCCTCACTCATGGTACCGGGCTGTACCCTGATCCCGGATCCCTGTTTTGCCTCCCCGTCTTTGACACCTGCAGACAGTCCTCTAGAGATTCCTGAACCTACCCCCATCCCCACCCCCACCCCGAAGTCCTCCCACCCTGGCTGAGCCACTGCCACTGCCACTGCCCCTGCTCCAGGGGCACCTCCGCCCTGCCTGGCCCCCCCAGCCTTCCTCTCCCAGGGGCCCCCTCACTCCAATCAGAGCGGCTCTGCCCCTGGCCCCAGCACACGGCAAGGAGGCCCCGGTGGGGAGCACAGATTTTATTGTTCGAGTCTGGGTTTCGTTGCTTCCATGTCCTGGTTCCCCGGGGAGGCGAGCATCCGCCTCCCTCAGTCGCCCATGGGCCGAGCGACCATTTTCCAGGTTCAAAGTGCACTGAGAGCGCTTCACAGTTTTAACACTTCCTAGATGCTCAACTGAGGCAAAGTGACAAAATGGCCCTCCCACCCCGCCCGCCAAAAAAATAAATCCCAAGCCCCCAGCAGCTGCTGCTGCAGCCGTATGAAAAAATAATACAAACTCTTCTTAAAAAATAGATTACACAGAAAGAACCCAGAGGACAGAGGGGCACGAGGAGGGGCAGGGACTCCTCCAGCTACTGGCAGGGAGCACGGGAGGGGGCGCTGAGATGATCCTGGGGGCGGGGCTGCTGGTGGACACCTGCCTCTCGATCACCACTCCTGCCCAGGGCCAGCTCCCCCCATCAGCCCTGACCCAGGCAGCATGGTGCCCTCTCCCTCAAGGGACCCCTCTTCACCCTGAGGCCTGGTACCTGCTTCTCACTAAAGTGGCTTCGATAAAGAAAGGAAAGAGACCCAAACCAAGAGCAAGGCCTGCTGCTGCCTGGCCATTGGCGGGCCCTGGGTCAGGCCTCGCTCTGTTTGGGGGTCTGGATAATTATCAACACCTGCTGCTACCTAGACACCCCCGGGGGATAACGGGCCCCAGACTCCCATCTGGCTCCTAGGAACGTGGTCTCCCCCTTGACCCATTCCCTCCTCCTTGCCTGGCCATTATGGGGCATCTTCAGAAGCTGCCCCCAGCCCAGCCTGGCTCAGGAGCTGCGGGCAGATGCAGGGTGCAGACGTCTTGGGCGGTGCGTGGGGTGGGCACAGCCCTCCTGGGGCCCCCAGCTCATGCAGGAGTGTGTGGGGGCGGCCCCACCAAGACAAGAGGTAAGGCAGGGTGGTGTGACCGCGTGTGGGCAGCTGGGCAGCACTGGGGCAGTCCGCGGGGGAGAAGGCAAGTCGGGGCCTGGCTCTGGGGAGGGGTCTGGGCACCCGCGGCCCTGGCGGAGGGCTCCATGCCTTGGCCACCTCCTGCAGAGGAACCTGGTGAGGGCGGATTCTCTGGAGGTGGGGCGGGGCAGCTGGGGGGCAGGGCTCAGTCGGGGACCTCAGGGTGGGCGGGCAGTCCGCTCTCACCACGCCGGTAGGTCTCCCAGAAGCCCCTATCCAGCTGCTCCAGCTGTGGGCCCAAGGGCAGGTGGCCAGCCAGGTGCATGCGGAGGGTCTCCAGCCAATGTTCCAGCTTTACGAAGCAGGGCCTGGGGTGACAGGTGGGTGGGTGGCGGGTCTGGCTCTCCTGGGGATCAGCCTCACCTGCAAGGATGCCCCAGGCCAAGGCCCCCAACTCACCTCTTCTCAGGGTCCAAATCGCAGCAGCGCACAGTAATAGGGAAGAAGCTTGGGGGGCAGTTTGGGGGGCAGTAGCGGTCCAGGAAGCCACGCACGTTGAGGCCAAAGTCCATGGTGCGGGGCAGGTAGTCAGGGTCTGCGTTCACTCGCCCGATGATCTGTCCAGCACAAGGCCCCTCAGTTAATGTGGGGCCCCTTAGCCTGGATGGATGTTGTCCAGGGGTCTGCAGGCAGGTCACTCCGGCCAAGGCCTGGACTGAACACTGAGCCCATGGGTCAGGCCGTCCCTCTGCTCTGGGCAGCCCTGTGCTCAGGAGGCTGCCAGCCTGCAGCCCAGGAGGGTGGGATGGGGAGGAGCCACCAGGTCTCAGTGCCGCCATTGCCCGCCGCTGGACCTACCTCACACAGGACGATTCCGAAGGAAAACACGTCCACCTTCTCATCATAGCTGCGGCCTGAACAGAGACACTGAGTGAGAGCAGGGCCAGGGGCAGCAGCCACGTGGGCCACAGGCCAATGCTGATAGCCTGCGTGGCACGGGGCTTAGATCCTATGTCCCAGCCCCCCACGTCCGAGTGACCCTCCTGTGCATTGAGAGGTGAGGATGAGGGCCCGGGACACCATGTTCCATGCTCTGCTGGGTCACCTGACCTGCTGCAGGACTCTGGGCAAAGCAGACTCCTGAGGCCCCAGAGGCTACTTTGTTGGGAAAAGGGTCTTGGGCTGGGCTGTCACTCAGTGCTGGACAAAGTGTTTTGTTTTTTTTTTAATACAATTTTTTTTTAGGGCTGGGGATGTGGCTCAGAGGTAGCATGCTTGTTTGGCATGCCTGAGGCAGTGGGTTCGATCCTCAGCACCCATAAAAATAAAATAAAGATACTGTGTCCACCTAAAACTAAAAAATGAATATTTAAAAAAATATTTTTTTAGTTGTCAATGGATTATTTATTTATTTATATGCAGTGTTGAGGCTCGAACCCAGGCCCTCACATGTGCCAAGCAAGCACTCTGACTCTGAGCCTCCGCCCAACCCAATGGGCCATGTGGTCAGCACACGAGGCCCTGCGTTCTCTGCGGATGTGGTGATAGTCAGTGGCAGGGGAAGGGCAGGTAAGCCTGGATCATCTATGGGGTCCTAAGTGCCATCACAAGTGCCTTTAAGAGAGACAGGACACAGAACACTTGCAGAGGAGGTGGTGACCATCGGAAGAGAGCAGCAGGGGGAGAAGGTGAGGCCAGGATGCCCTCTAGAGGGGCCTGTGGTGCCAGGTCTGGGACTCGCCTCCACTGTGTGGATAGTATTTTCCCTGGTACGGTGGCAACCACTGACCACCCGCCAGCCCTTTTTATTCAATTTTGAAACAGGGTCTCACTAAATCACACAGACTGGCCTCAAGTGTGACACCCTCCTGTCTCTGCCCCTTGACTTGCTGGGACCACAAGTGGGCGCCACCATGCCTGACCAACTGTGTTAAGTCACCAAGTCTGTAATACTTTTGTTATGGTGACCTCATGAAATGGACATAGACTTGCTGAGCTTCAGTTTCCTTGTTTGTCAAATGGGAATATCATTGGCCACTTGTCAAAACCTTTAGGGGGGCTACTCAGTGAACGCCAACCAGTTGGCAGTGGTTTACAAACCGCGTGGAATCCTCACTCTGCCCCTGAAGACAAGGGCTGTTTAGACTAGCTGTCACCTGGGGGCGACACTAATTGCATCCATCTGGTCAGTGCTGGTGCTGGCTGACTCTGGGTCTGCCTGTCCTGAACCTGTGTGTCACCTGTTTGGGGAAGGGCCTTATGACCTGGACATACCCAGGAGGGACCTTGTCGTCTGGGCATACACAGGGACCACGCGGCAGGAACAGCAGAGCTGGGGAGTGAGGGGGCCAGCACCCTGGGCTGATGCACAGCTGCAGAAGATGGCCCCGTCTCAATCCCTGGGGCTCTGCGGGTGGCATCAGGGTCCCCCTTTTTTTGTTTGTTTGTTTGTTTTATGTAGTGCCAGGGATGGAGCAGGGCCTGTGCGACCTAGGCAAGCGCTCTACCACTGAGACTGTCCCCAGCCCCGGGATTAGGGTCGAGATGGAGTGATGATCCTGGATTAGCGGGTGGCTCAGAGTAGTCACCAGGGTCCTCATCAGAGGGAGGGGGAGGGTTGGAGTCAGGGACAGGGAGGTGAACACAAGAGGCCACTGGCCCGAGGTGGAGACAGGGCCCTGAGCTGAGGACAGAAACGGTAGGCAACAGGGCCTCTGGCAGAGCTCGCAGGAGGACCGGCCTGCTGGTCCAGAGAGGCCCTGGCTGGACTTCTGACCTGCGGGCTGCTGGGTGATGTGTTACCTGAGCTACCAAGAGTGGCAGCAACAGGAAACGCACCCAGGACCCAGGAGGTGGCGTGACGGGCGGGCCACTCACCGTTGATCATCTCGGGCGCCATCCAGTAGGGGTTGCCCACCACAGTGTAGCGCTTCTTGCGGTCGGGCTTCTTGAGGCTCCGCAGGTCCTCAGGCTGGGTCTTCTCGTCCACCATGAGCCGTGCCAGCCCGAAGTCGGCCACCACCACATTGTTGTTCTGGGGAGACAAGCAGGGTCACCAGTGCTGGACACCTTCTGGCCCTGCTGGCCCAGCCCGTGCCTCTCTGAAGCCTGCAGAGGGAGCCTGGGTTTGGGTGCGGCTTCCTGAACTCTGAGTGAGCGTCTGCTGCCTTAAGCCATCCCTCTGGGGCCCTGTGTGTCAGCCTGGGAAGCGAATATGCCTCCTCCTGGACGCCCTCACTCCCTCTCTGTCCCCTGACCACCAGCCTGTGGACCCTGGGCACCCTGCCTCTACCCCCACTTACAAGCACCCTCCTCCTCAGGGAAGCTGCTGACCTCCCAGCCCCCACACATGTGGCCTGCTGCAGCCTGTGGCCACCCTGCTGACCTCCCAGCCCCCACACATGTGGCCTGCTGCAGCCTGTGGCCACCCTGCTGTGGGCTGCACTTGGTGATCACCTGTCCTGGTCACTAACAGCTCAGGAGGCCAAGATCTCCACCTCTGTTACTAGACTCTCCCAAGAAGCCATTATGCTGACTACTGAGCCAGGCTGCCCGCCTCCTGCCCTTGGGCTGCTTCCCCACCTCCCACTTCAAAGGGTAGCACAGGTTACCCAAGGACCTCTGCTGAGGGAAAGCCCTGAGGCTGGAGCCCAGAGTGTGTCCCTACAAGCCCAGCCACTGGCTGCAGCTGCTTACCTCACGGACCAGGCAGTTGTGAGAGTTGAGGTCTCGGTGGATGATGTTCATGGAGTGGAGGTAGGCCTGGGGGACACAGGTGTCAGGAGGGGCGTGCAGGGCCCCGGGCTCCCACCCTACCCCACCCCAATCGGGCCATCCAGGGGTCTTCCCACTCTGTTTGGTCTGCTTTGCCCCCTTCCAAAGCCTCCCCGTGGGGCCTGTTTCCAGATTCCTCAGGGTCAGTTTCCAGCATGGAGGTCACCAGCCACTTACCATCCCCGACGCGATGTCCTTGGCAAAGCTCACCCTCTGAGTCCATGGGTACTGGCTGTCCTGGGGATCGGGGAGAACAGCTGGGATGTGAGAGTCACGGGGGCCAGTGTCCTGGAGACTGACAGCCCCATCTCTCCTGCACCCACAACTGTCTCTTTTGAAAGGGGACATTTCCTTTACAGAAGTGACTTCAAACCCTTGGGGGGCTGCTCCTTTGAGGAGGAAGACCTCGAGCCCCCTCCCCCGCATCAGCAGTGGGCTGACCTCGGCCCCTGGCTGCTGGTTCTGGCAAGTCCTTAAGATGACACGGTGGCTTCGCAGAAGCCGCATGGTTTCCCCCCACCCCGTCCCACCATCCTAGATGACTCCTAACACTAATCACCCCTAAATGCCACACGAGGAGTTGTTCTACACAGTAAACCCAATCCTTCCAAGTTTTAAAGAATTTGAACCTGTTTTGTAGATGGAGCTAGAAGGGCCTGTGATGGTCACCCTCGATCAGCATTGAGCCACTCTGGGAGACCAGGGCTTGGCCCTGCTGTGGGCAGGGCCCAGATCTGGACTGTTCCCCGTAGGCCCACAGGTGAAAGGCCTGGCACTGGGTGGTGGTGGAACTTCAGAGAGGCTGGGCCTCGTGACAGGTCCTTAGGTCACTGAGCCATGTCCTTGGGGGGGGTCTGCGGGCCCTCGGCCTCTGCCACTTTCTCTTTTGATTTCTGGCCATGAGGCAAGTGGCTTTGCTCTACCAAGAGCTCCCACCAAGATGTGCCACCTTGCCACCACCCAAAGCAGTGGGGACAGCCAGTCATGAAGTGGTAGCTCCAAATCTGCAAAGCCCAGATAAACCTTTTCTCCTTTATAAAGTGATGATCTCAGGGACTTTGTTACATTCATGGAAAAATGGCTAATCCAGGTCTTGGATCACACACACAGACCACTCACCCCTGGCCGTCCCCTAGGAGGGCTCCAGAGGAAGTGTTGGGGTACCTGGGCGCGTCAGCGTGAGTGGTGAGGCTGGGAAACCTCCCTGGTATCTCTAAAGCCCACTTGACTACAGCACATCCTGGGGGACTCCCACATAGCAGGCTCCTGGGGCCACACTTTGGGAAACGCCAGGTAAACTGAGGTAATGAGATGGCAGAAGCTGGAGAAGGGACAAGATCTCGTGGTCTCGGGGTACTGCTGAAAGGGCCTAGAAGGCAGGACGGGTCACCGGGGTGCCGGCCAACAAGAAATCAAGAGTGCCAGATGGCTTCCCTCCAGCGCTTCATTTCATTTTTTGGTCCCAGGGATTGAACCCAGGGGCACTTAACCACTGAGCCACCTCCCGGCCCTCTTTATATTTTATTTAGAGACAGGGTCTCACGGAGTTGCTTAGGGCCTCTCTAGGTTGCTGAGGCTGGCTCTGAACCCTTCATCCGCCTCCTTGGCCTCCCAAGTTGCAGGGATCACAGGCTTTGCCACTGCACCCGGCCCAACACCTCATTTCTGAAGATGAATTGGAAACTATCCGAATCCTTAAAGAAAGGTCTGAATTGTGTGAAACGGTTAAGTGATGAGAAGCAGAGCAAAGGCCCCAGGACTGGTAATGGAGGCTGCCGCTCCCCGGGTGGCTCCTGAGGCCTGCGGCCAGCTGTTCCAGGACAGCCTGAGTGACCTCTGGGGAAGGTGCCACCCTCCTGGGGCTCCAGCTTTAGTTGGAACTGGTTGCTCCCTTGCTTGGTTTGGAATCAGGGCTTAAAGGGTCTTGAGGCCCCCACAGCCATCACCCCCTGAATAGATGAGGCTGAGGCCCAGAGGGAGCTGTCTTGGCCACAGGAGGGGTGGCAGGTGGGGCTCTGCCCGGCACCGTATCCCCAAACACACAAACACACCACACACACACACACACTTTTTTTTCGGTACTGAAGACTGAACCAAACCCAGGGGAGCCTCACCACTGGGCTACATCCCTACCCCATTCTGACTTTGAGACAGGGCCTTGCTAAGTTGCTGAGGCTGGTCTTGAACTCAAGATCCTCCTGCCTCAGCCTCCAGAGCTGTGGCGGTTCCAGGCCACCACACCGTTACTCACCATGCTCTTGATGATGCCCCGCAGGGTGCCACCCTTGATATACTCGGTGATGAAGTTCAGCCTCTTGTCCTTGTACAGCACCCCGATGAACTTGAGCACGTTGGGGTGCTCTAGGCATCTCATGACCTTCACCTGCAGGGTATAAACAGGCTGGGCCCTCCCCTCCTGCCCCCAACACCCCGAGGCCCTGGCCCTGGCTGTCCACTGTCTGTGGGGCTGCTCCCCCAGGAGGCCGCCCGCCCCGGGAGGACGCGTCTCCCTTCTCAACGTGTGGACTGAGCCCTGTCCACAGGGAACCCTATGCTGCCCCATCTGGGTGGTGAAGGGGCAGGGACCCGAAGTCTGGCCCTGAGGCATGTGTCAGCCCCCGAGAGACCTCCTTGAGAAACGTCCTCTGGGTCTCCTCGTCAAACCGAATCAGCTCCTTCATCACCATCACCTCACCCGTCTCCCGGTGCGTCACCTGTGGGGACACCAGACAGGACTGCAGGACCCGCCTTGAAGGAGGCGCCACAGGCACCCAGTAATGCCAGGCAGATGTACAGATGGCGTCACATTCTTTGCACAGCCCAGGGGAAGCTCCCAGACACCCAAGGGCCCAAGGCTCCTGGCTGGCAGGAAAGGAGGGCGCTGAGCCTGGGTGAGGTCAGTGGTAGCTTGGTCAGGAACTCCTGCCTGGCCAGGGGACGGGGACAGGGTAGGTCCTGAGAAGCCCAGCCTACATCTTTTGTATAGTCCTGATCCTTCCAGTCAGGTCATAGCCAGGTGACACCAGAGCCAGGCTCAGTCCTTGCTCAGGGAGACTGTAAAGGGGTCCCTGAGGTCATGATGGGGTGGCACCAAGCTCAGCATGGAGACTCGAGAGGGGACTTAGATCAGTCTGGGCTGGCCTGCCCTCCTACCCCGCCTGGGTCTACCTTAGAAGGTCCCTGTCCCTCTCCAGCCCAAAGAGGCCGAGGCCAAGGAGAGAGCCCTGGCCCAAGAGCCTAGAGGCCAGATGTGGTGGCCTCCCCGAGGCACTGGTGGGAAACGAGAGGGCTGTCCCCTCCCCCCGTACCTTGATGGCCTGGCCAAAGCAGCCCTTGCCCAGCACCTCCCCATGGATGAGGTCTGATGGCCGGAAGATGCGATGTGGCCGGCAGACCACCCGGAGGGATTCGGAGCGACCCAGGTCCTTGCGCTGGGAGGCCGGCGAGGCCAGCGAGCCAGCACCTGGGGACGTGTCGATGCTGCAGCTTCTCCTATGGAGGCACACGGTGCCCAGTGTCACAGGAAGGGCCCTGGCTGGGACCCTGCCCCTGCCTGCTAGGCCCCATCCTGGCGGGGTCATGTGGTGCTCCACGCTACGGGTGGCATAGCTTGGCCTTTGCAGGGCAATACCCAGCCCCCACTTCTGCTCTCCTGTCTGAGGTCCACTGTTTCACAGGTGCCTTAGATGAATGTCTATCCTTGGCCTTGACACCTGTCTAGGGTGCCCATGACCCTGGAACAAGCCGCCCACAGGTGGCCCAGGCTCTGGAGGGTGCAGGTGACAGGGGAGTGTGTGCCTTCAGCAGTGTGACTTCCTAGGGCAAGGCTGCCCGCGGCGGCCTCCCTGAAGGTCTCCATCAGCGTCCTGAGCAGTGAGCGGGGGAGGCCAGGCTGCCTCCTCCCACCTGCCCAGGTCAAGATACTGACCCTTGGCACCTGCTGCCTGGACCACTCAAGGGCCCACCAGCTGTCACTGGTCTCGAGTGTCCCCACCCTAGTCCCTCCCGCGTGGTGGGCCAAAGTGGTCTTCATGAAACACATCACACTGCTGCCACATCCTTCAGTGGGAGCCCTACCACATAGGGACAAGGTCCAAAGACCCCGCCATGCCTCACACCGATGGAGCCCACCACCCAGTCACCCCATGAGCCGGGAAGCAGCGCCTGCTCCCTTCTCCTCGTCCCCACACCCCCAGGCTGAGCTGACTTCTCCGTCAGACGGAGCCAGTGGAGGCAGGCACCAGGTCCCAGTGTCCCAAGGCTTGGTGCCAGCGCCAGTACCTGCCCAAGCCAACCAGACTGACTTACAGGACAGGTTTCTGCCGGGCAGAGCTGCCCACCTCTCCGCTGGGCACGTGCATCGGGGAGCCCAGGGGGCTGGGCTCTGGCCCTGGCCCATGGCCTAGCGGGTCGTGGGGGTCGTGCTCAAGGGTCAGCTGCAGCAGGCGACTGGTTTCCTGTATCAGCAGGTCGATCTGGGGAGGGGACGTGGACAGCTGAGGCCACTGCGGTGGTGGTGGAGGGGCTCGGGCCCAAGGCTCTGCCCCAACTCGGCCCTGGTCTCAGGACCTACCTCGTCCAGGGGCACGTTCCGGATGGGTGTGCCGTTGATCTCCAGGATCCTGTCTCCCACGTGGATGGAATTCTTCACATCTGGGCTCATGCAGCCTGGGTCCACTCTGCGACACAGCAATGGCCCCATCAGTTCCCACCTGCCCCTGGAACCCCAGCAGGAAACCATGGCCAGGGAGACCCTCAGAGGTTGGGGGCAAAAGGTTCTATCTCGTGGACAGGAAGGCGGCAATTCTCCAGGATGTCACTGGAGGGTGGGAAGAGTTCCGAAATGGATGATGGGTGTCTGCCACGGGTGTGGCAGTGGGGAAGGGTGGCCCGCTGCAGATGTCTGCCCCCCTGTTTCAGGTGAATGACTCCTCCACCTCAGACAGAGCTCTCCTCCAGATGCCTGGCATGCCTGGGGCTGACCAGGGTCCTGAGCTGGGTCCTAGGGTCTGGATCCACTGGCTTTCTACCTAAAGCCCGGGACTCATCCAGCAAGAGGAAGCTCCCTTTCTCCTGAATTGGCAGAGGGGCTAAGAGCCCACCCTGAGCCTCGGGTGCAGGGTTATGGGCATGAGGCGTGCAGAGGACCACCAGCTAACTTAGGGGACGGCCAACTTGCAGCATTTCCTCGCTTTTTTTAAACTCAGGTTTTAACTGGTTTTGGTTTTCATTTCATCTCATAAGTTTTTGAAAAATGTTCTGTTTCTCTCCTAGCCCTTTATGGATGCGTACTTATGTATGTAAGGTACAGGGAACTGAATCCAGAGGTGCCCTACTACTGAGCTACATTTCCAAACCTTTTTACTTTTTTATTTTTGAGGTAAGGTCTCGCTAAATTGCTGAGGCTGGCCTGGAACTTGTGATCCTGCTGCCTCAGCCTCCAGAGTCACTGGGATTATAGGTGTGCGCCACCGAACCAGCGTCGCTTCGAATGAAGATAATCTTAAAAATGTTCCTTAAAAAAATGCTCCTTAGGGCTGGAGATTGTAGCTCAGCACCTGACTTCAACCCCCAGTACTGTAAAATGCAAAATAAGAAAGGAAACCAAAAATCCCACAGTGTGGCCAGCGCCTGGCCCTCGGGCAACTGGGAAGCTTCAGGAGGAAGCTCTCTGCAGAGAAGGCTGGGAAACTGGGGTTTCATCGCCCAGGGGGCAGGCAGGAGGGCGGCCTCAGAGGCCCGTGTCTGGGCCAGCTGTGTAGGGAGGAGACGCCATCTCCCCAGGATCACCTTCCCCAGCACCTCTCTCGCTGCTCCCCGTGCCCAGCTGCGGTGCCTGGTGGGTACGGGAGACTCCTGCACTGAACCAGGTGGATGCTGCTCTTAGTTCCCATGCCTGGGGATGGGGATGTTCAAAATCCTGCTCAATGTGCCAGTGAAGGCTCTGAGGGCACCATGGTGTCCAGCTCCTGCACCATTTAGGTGGACCCTGCCCCAGTTTGGATGTGGTGCTGGAAGCGTGGTCCCCCATGTGATGGCACT